GTGGTGGTAGTGGTGTTAGTGGTGGTGTTAGTGGTGGTGGTAGTGGTGTTAGTGGTGGTGTTAGTGGTGGTGGTGTTAGTGGTGGTGTTAGCGGTGGTGGTGTTAGTGGTGGTGTTAGTGGTGGTGGTGGTGTTAGTTGTGGTGGTCATGATAGGAGTGGAGGAGCGGTGGTGCAGCGGTTAGTGCTGCGCTACGAACCCGGCAACGGGAGTGCGATTCCCGCTCACGGCCAAAACCACCGGTGACGATTATCTGAACCGGTCCTGGGCCTCCCCTAGGTCGACTCAGCCTCAAACGAGTAGCTGGTGTAGTGGTGGTGGTGCTGGCCACCCACCCCCTCTGTGTATGCCACAGTGCCGGTAGCCTTCATAGGTAGCGCTGCTGCTGCTACTAACAGCACTTGCCCCTACAACCTGTTAGAGGCTACACGGGGGACATTTGTCTGTGTCTACCTTCATAGACTGCTGCTGCTACTCGCTACTACCAACAGCACTTGCCCCTACAGCCTGCTAGAGGCTACACGGGGGACCTTTGTCTGTGTCTACCTTCATAGACACTGCTGCTGCTACTCGCTACTACCAACAGCACTTGCCCCTACAGCAGTGGTTCTTAACCTTGTTGGAGGTACCGAACCCCACCAGTTTCATATGCGCATTCACCGAACCCCTCTTTAGTGAAAAATAAATGTGATTTTTTCAATTCAAGACATAGATATGTTTTTTACTGGTACACAAAATGAGCCGTGCATGAACATTACCTTGTTTCAAAGAATAAAACCAACACAATGCATAAACTCACAACAAATTACATACCTGGAAATCAATGTGACTTTCTGCTGTTGCCTTTGAGAGATCAGTTTCAGATATGCGTGGCTTCACCTTGGCAAGTGCCACTCTCATGTCATTTTCACAGCAAAGTCTGTTCCTTTTCTTCGTTTTTATGTCCAGCATCCTCGAAAAGGATTGCTCACAAAGATATGTTGTAACAAATGGTATAAAAAAATCCAGGGCTTTCATAGCAATAACTGGATACTTGTTCATTGTCGACACCAAAACGTTGAGAGACGTTGTTGTTCTGAAGAGTTGCTGTTGAACCTGGCTCTGCTGAATTTCAATGATTTCGTCGAGGAATTCATCATTGACATCTGCTGTTTCAACAGCAAACGTGAACGGCTGTCTCACCCATTCTGGATATGACTCTCTTGTAGGGAAATATCCGTCGAGAGACTTTGCAAGCTCATCTAAGTGCGTGGCAATTGTTTGCTTCAGTTCCGTGGATACAGAAATATCTCCGATTCCAGACACATCTTCGATCTTACTTGCACAGTCGTCCAGAAGCGGGAAGTTTGTGAAGTTATTGTTCTCTGTTCGTCGTTTCCATAACGGTAGCTTTTTTTGAAAAGCCTTCAGGTGTTCTTCCGCTTCCATGATATTGACTCCACCACCCTGCATCTGCTGATTGAGATGATTGAGAGCTGCGAATATATCAGCCATGTACGCTAAAAATGAGAATGAAAGTCAGGGATTTTTGAAGCAATCTGCATGGCAGTGTTGGTGCTCTTGCAAAAACAGGGCTAATTCCACACGCATGGCAAAAACACGATTCAGCACCTGTCCCCGGGATAACCACCGAATATTAGAATGGAGCAGAAAGTACCTCAAATTCAGAGCCCATTTCTTTACACAGCTCACTGAAGAATGCGGTGCCTCAGAGCACTTTTTCGCACATAGTTCACACATTCCACCACAGTTTTTAATACTTCTGCCATTTTTGAGGGTAAGGTTTTTGTTGCCAACGCATGCCTGTGCAGAATACAATGCGTCACAATGATGTGTGGTGCATCGGCCTTTACTAGCGCACCAAAACCAGACTTTCTTCCCAGCATGACTGGAGCTCCGTCCATACAAACTGCAGAAACCATATCCCATGAAAGATTGTTGTCTCTGAGAAGTCATCCACAAGCTTCTTCACATCGGCTGCCTTCGTTGTTGTTGTAAGAGGCTTACACAATAAAAACTCTTCTTTTATCATGTCGTCTTTCACATAGCGTACAAAAACAGCAAGCTGGCTTAGATCAGAAACGTCTGTGGTTTCGTCGAGTTGAAGGCTGAATTTTGCCGGGCTTGAAATCAGATCCGCGACTACTTGAGCCAAGATGTCTTTACTCATCTCTTCTATTCTGTCACTGACGGTGTCATTTGAAAGGGGAATTTGGGATAATTTACCTTCGGCCGCTGTTCCGAGTATCAGATTCGCCATCTTTAATGCAGCTGGTTTCACAAGTGTTTCACCAATGGTGTGTGGCTTGCCCTGCTTTGCGATCAGGTAAGCAACTTCGTACGATGCTGTCAGGATCGGTTTGTTAACAGGTACAAATCCAAGAGCAGGCAGAGTGGCCCTTTCATCGAATCTGGCTCTCTTCACCCTGAATTCAGCAAGTGTTGTGTTCTTGTATTCCCCGTCTCCATGCAGCTTCAAGAAGTGTTTCCTTAGTTTGCCGGTGCAAGACTAGAGTTGCTCAACTTGGCGTTGCAAATCATGCAGATAGGACGCTCACTCCCATCACGTTCCATGATACATGAGAATCAATGTTGTACATATTCGTCCGACCACTTTCTTCTTTTGCCCGACATAGTTAGTATGGATAAAATATTAAAGAAATCACACGACGTACGACAACAACAGTCACACGTTGACTACTGAGTACGCACTAAATTCCCCGCAGCGCTGATTGGCCAAGCAGTGTAGCATGATCATCTGCAGCCAGTGATGGCCAAGCGGGCCGTGTGTGTCATCACAAATTTACACAATAATTCAAGTGTGTCCGGACCTCCGTGGCGGGGGCTCTGCCGAACCCTGAGATCGACTCACCGAACCCCTGGGTTCGATCGAACCACTGCCCTACAGCCTGCTAGAGGCTACACGGGGGACCTTTGTCTTGGTCATGATAGTGGAGGTGGTTGTGGTGATGATGTTGGTGGTGGTGGTGATGGTAGTGGAGATGGTGGTGGTGGTGATGATGGTGGTGGTCATGATGATGATTTGAGGATAACTCAGCAATGATGCTATGGCGATGATGTTTGTAATGATGTCGATGACACTTATGATGGACATATCAGGCCAGATGTGATGATACTGATGATGATGATGGGTATGAGAATGTTCCTACTGCATACCAGGCGAGGTAGTTAACATCTCACCACCCTGGCACACAGGAGGTCGTGGGTTCAATCCCAGACACTGAGAGATGTTGACTACCTCGCCTGGTACGCAGGAGGTCGTGGGTTCAATCCCAGACACTGAGAGATGTTGACTACCTCGCCTGGAACACAGGAGGTCGTGGTTCGAATCCCAGACACTGAGAGATGTTGACTACCTCGCCTGGTACGCAGGAGGTCGTGGGTTCAATCCCAGAAAACTGAAGGATGTTGACTACATCGCCTGATACGCAGGAAGTCGTGGGTTCAATCCCAGACACTGATAGATGTTGACTACCTCGCCTGGTACGCAGGAGGTCGTGGGTTCAATTGCAGACCCTGAGAGATGTTGACTACCTCGCCTGGAACGCAGGAGGTCGTGGGTTCTCTCCCAGACACTGATAGATGTTGACTACCTCGCCTGGTACACAGGAGGTAGTGGGTTCAATCCCAGACCCTGAGAGATGTTGACTACCTCGCCTGGTACACAGGAGTTCGTGGGTTCTATCCTGGACCCTGAGAGATGTTGACTACCTCGCCTGGTTACGCAGGAAGTCGTGGGTTCTATCCCGACACTGACGATGCCTGCTGCTGCTGTAGATTTGGAGTCTGCGTCTCTCTCATCATCATCATCACGGTGGCTAATCATACGTTCGACTAATCACCACCATCACCACCATCATCACCGTCACCATCATCACCACCATCATCACCATCATCACCACCACCATCACGGTCACCACCACCATCACCACCACAATCACCACCACCACCACCCCCCCCCCCCCCCCCCCACCCCCCCCACCCCCCACCCCCACCACCCCACCACCCCCCCCACCCCCACCCCACCACCACCCCCCCCCCCCCCCCCCCCCCCCCCCCCCCCCCCCACCCCCACCCCCCCCACCACCACCACCCCCCCCACCACCCCCCCCACCACCACCACCATCCCCCCCCCACACCACCACCACCACCCCCCCACCACTACCACCACCACCCCCACCACCACCACCACCCCACCCCCACCTCTCACCCCAACCAACCCCCCCACCCCCCGCACAACCACCACCCCCACCCCCCCCCACACCACCACCACCACCACCACCCGCACCACCACCAGCACCACCCCCCCACCCCACACCACCACCCCCACCACCACCACCCCCACCCTACCACCACCACCCCCACCACCACCACCATCACCCCCATCACCACCCCAACCACCACCACCACCACCCCCACCACCACCACCACCACCACCCCCACCACCACCACCACCCCCCACCACCACCACCCCCACCCCTACCACCACCCCCACCACCACCACCCCCACCACCCCCCCCCCCCCCCACACCACCACCCCCACCCCCACCAACCACAACACCCCCCACACCACCCCCCCCACCCCTACCACCACCACCACCCCCACCACCCCCACCACCCCCACCTCTTCACAGAATGCACCACGAGTGGACGGCCACCTCGTCAGCCGAGCGAGCGATGGACATGAAGATGTACTTCTGCCTGGCGCTGCCCGCCAGGCCCCACAGATCGCACGGCCACGGCCAACCTCGTCACGGCGGCGAGGTGGTGGAGGTGGTGGAGTAGGTGTAGGAGGTGGAGGACGAGGAGGAGGTGGAGGAGAGAGAGGTGCGTGAGTCAATGTGACTCTATATGGGACTCTATGGGACTCTATGGGACTCTATGGGACTCTATGTGACTCTATATGTGACTCTATATGTGACTCTATATGTGACTCTGTATGGGACTCTATGGGACTCTATATGAAGTTTATGGGACTCTATGGGACCCTGTGTGACTCTATATGTGAATCTATATGGGACTCTATATGTGAATCTATATGTGACTCTATATGTGACTCTATATAGGACTCTATATGTGACTCTATATGTGACTCTATATGTGACTCTATGTGACTCTATATAGGACTCTATATGTGACTCTATATGTGACTCTATATGTGACTCTATATGTGACTCTATATGTGACTCTATGTGACTCTATGTGTGACTCTATATGTGACTCTATATGTGACTCTATATGTGACTCTATATGTGACTCTATGTGACTCTATGTGTGACTCTATATGTGACTCTATATGTGACTCTATGTGTGACTCTATATGTGACTCTATATGTGACTCTATATGGGACTCTATATGTGACTCTACATGTGACTCTATATGTGACTCTATATGTGACTCTATGTGACTCTACATGTGACTCTATATGTGACTCTACATGTGACTCTATATGTGACTCTATGTGTGACTCTATATAGGACTCTATATGTGACTCTATATGGGACTCTATATGTGACTCTATATAAGACTCTATATGTGACTCTATATGTGACTCTGTATGTGACTCTATATGTGACTCTATATGGGACTCTATATATGACTCTATATGTGACTCTACATGTGACTCTATATGTGACTCTATATGTGACTCTATATGTGACTCTATATGTGACTCTATACGTGACTCTATATAAGACTCTACATGTGACTCTATATGTGACTCTATATGTGACTCTATATGTGACTCTATATGTGACTCTATGTCTGACTCTATATGTGACTCTATATGTGACTCTATATGTGACTCTATATGTGACTCTATATGTGACTCTATATGTGACTCTACATGTGACTCTATATGTGACTCTATATGTGACTCTATATGTGACTCTATGTGACTCTATATATGACTCTATATGTGACTCTGCATGTGACTCTATGTGAGTGTATATGTGACTCTATATGTGACTCTATATGTGACTCTATATGTGACTCTATATGTGACTCTATATGTGACTCTATATGTGACTCTATATGTGACTCTATGTGTGACTCTATGTGACTCTATATGTGACTCTATATGTGACTCTATATGTGACTCTATATGTGACTCTATATGTGACTCTATATATGACTCTACATGTGACTCTATGGGACCCCCCTATGTGACTCTATGGGACCCCCTCCCCCCGTGTGTCTCCACAGGCCGCGCGGGTCCTGCGCGAGGCCGTGGGCCGAGGCGACGTGGGGGCGCTCCGGGCCCTGCTTTGCCGGCCCGCGGTGCTCCGTCACGTGGACGCGCTGTGTGGCTGGGGGGTCCCGTGCCCGCCACTGCGCGTGGCTGCAGCCAGGGGGGACCTGGAGAGTGTCCAGGTGGGTCGGGAGGGTGGCGGTGGTGGTGGTGGTGGTGGTAGCGGCAAAACAACCCCCTACCTCCTCATTGGTCAGCGGACGGGCAAAGCTGTCGCGGGGGGCGGGGGGGGTGGAGGGCCAATTCCGAGTGGCCTTTAACCCCTCATGGCGTCTGTGACCGTTACAGCGGCCAAACGGGGGCTCTGGACGGGTGCGAGGGGCTGGTAACCACCTCCACCTTCAATGAATTACCGCTAAACCACTACGGAAAAATTCAACGAATAAGCTTGTGTCGGAGGCCCCGGGGGTGGGGACAGGCGTCTACGACGTCTCCTGGCCAAACCCCAATTGGCAGAGCCAGGAGATTGAATCTCCACCCTCGGGGCTCCTCCAGAAACAACGAAAAGCCAATTCGGCTGGACACGTGGAATGTTCGAACGCTCACTGCGGAGGTAGAGGCTGCCACTCCTCTGTCGGGAGCTGGACCGGTACCGCCTGGATCTCTGCGGTATTCAGGAGGTCCGGTGGACCGGTTCTGGCGTCCTGCCAGCATGAGGGGTGGACAGTCCTCTACTCGGAGCGGGAGTGCTGCTAAACAACAGGGAGTGGATCTTCTTCTGAATTAAAGAATGAAATGGGGTGTGGGAGCGTGGCGGTGAGGTGTGGGAAGCTGTAAGCCCCAGGCTACTTTGGGCTCGCCTTCCCATCAGTCAGAGGCGAGGAGTGGTGGTCGTGGTTACTTATGCCCCCACCGAAGACGAACATCGGTGGAGGGATGCAGGCAAAGCCGATGAGTCAGATGCTGGCTAAACTGGCCCCTTAGGATAGAGTTATCTTGTTGGGTGACTTCAATGCCCGAGTTGGTCATGATGCTGGCACCTGGTCTGGGGTGATTGGAGGGCATGGGCCAGATCAGCTCAATAACAAAGGCAGGAGGCTGCTAGATTTTTGTGCAGCCCATGGGCTTGTAATTACCAACGCGCTGTTCCAGCATCGGCGCATCCACACAACATCACGGATGCACACCGAGTCCAAGCAAGAACATCTGCTGGACTACATAGCGACAGAACAGCGGATGCGGGCCCATGTCCTTGACACCAGGACCTACCGTGGAGCTGATCTGCCCACTGACCATCGAATTGTCATCTGTAAGATGCGCCTGCCGTCGCTTGCGGCTGGGGTTGGCATCGTCCCCCACTCCTCCTGATGTCGAGGGTAAATGGGCGAGATTTAGGACTGTGGCTCATGCAGCTGCAATGGCTGCTTTGGGTATGCGGTCCAGACCTCCCCAGAGACCCTGGCTGACAGAGGTGTTCAAACTGGCTGAGAAAAAGCGACAGGCCCACTCTCATCAGCTACAGTAGGCAAGGCTGCATTGGCTGGGTCATGTAGCCCGCATGCCCAGCCACCGCATGCCGAAACAGCTTTTATTTGGCCGGATTGAGGGGGCTAAACGGGCGCGGCACGGGCTAGAGAAGAGATGGAGTGACGTGGTACAGGAGGACGTGGAGCTGAGTGGACTTGCCGATGACCGGTACCAGCGGTGTCAAGATCGGCCTCTGTGGAGGAGGCTCGTGAATGACGCTACTGGGCAGTTGGAGGCAGTCGCCCTCCAACAACAACGGAGGGCGGAGGAGCGACGCTCATAACAACGAGCGGAGCGCCGGGTGGCTAAAGCACAGCAGGTTGGCACAGTAAGGGGCACAGGTGGTGCATCAGGCACTCATCTCAGTCATCTCAGTCAGTCGACCCGTGGCACCTGCTGGGTCTGCCCCGTGACCTCCTGCCCAGCGGGCGTTCGACACTTCACGTGGCCTCAAGGTGCACATAGCCTGGCACAAGCGTCGTGGTGACGTCACCGCCACTTAGTGGCGAAGGGCGGTTGTTGTTGTTCTTGTTGTTGTTGTTGTTGGGGGTAGCGGTTACGAAGGCGGTGCTGGTGGTGGTGGTGATAGTGGTGGTGACGATACAGCTGCTCCAACTCCATGAAGTCTCAGACACGGCAACCGCACCACCACCACCACCACCACCACTCCCCACACTCACTAACTCTCCCCCCCCCCCACTCCTCTCCCCCCCCCCACCAATTCCCCCCACCACCACCAATTCCCCCCCCCCAGCTGCTCCTCTCCAGCGGTGCCGACCCCGACCGCCCTGACCTCAAGTCTCAGACGCCGCTGTGGGTGGCCGTGTGGGGGGGCCACGCTCCGTGCGTCCGCGCCCTCCTGGCGGCGGGCGCCAGGCCCTCCGGGAGCCCGCTCTGCGCCTGCTCGCCGCTGGCGCAAGCCGCGCGCGACGGCCGCGACGATCTCGCGCGGGAGCTGCTGGCGGCCGGGGGCAGCGCGGACGCTCGGGGCAGGGTCGGTGGCCCGGGTGGGCAGCTGTCTGGTGGGTGGGCGGGCGGTAGTCCAGGTCGGGCAACGTCGTCGCGGGCGGTGGGGCGAGTGGGGTGGGGTGGAGGGACAATTCCGAGTGGCCGTTCCCGTCATGGCGTCTGTGACCACCACGGCGGCCCTCCACCTTGAATCAGCTACCGCTAAACCGCGTAGAATTAATAAATCTAATTAATGAGCTTGAAGCTTGTGCCGGAGGCCACGTGAAGGCGTCGAACGCCCGCTGGGCAGGAGGTCACGGGGCAGAAACCAGCAGGTGCCACGGGTCGACTGACTGAGATGACTACTGGCTGTTGCACCACCTGTGCCCCCTACTGTGCCAACCTGCTGTGCCTTAGCCGCCCGGCACTCCGCTCGTTGTTGTGAGCGTCGCTCCTCCACCCTCCGGGGGGGGGACAGGTGTCTATTACGTCTCCTGGCCAAACCCCATTTTGGCGGAGCCAGGAGATTGATTTGTTACCATCGGGACTCCTCCAGAAACAACGAAAAGCCACTACGGGTGGCCACGTGGAATGTTCGAACGCTCACCGCGGAGGAGAGGCTGCCGCTCCTCTCTCGGGAGCTGGACCAGTACCGCTTGGATCTCTGTGGCATTCAGGAGGTCCGGTGGACTGGCTCTGGCTCCTGCCGCCATGAGGGGTGGACAGTCCTCTACCCGGGGCAGGAGACTACCTAACAACAGGGAGCGGCTCTTCTTCAAAACGAAAGAATGAAGGGGGCGTGGGAGTGTGGCAGTGAAGTGTGGGAAGCTGTAAGCCCCAGGCAACTTTGGGCTCGCCGTCCCATCAACCGAAGGTGAGGAGTGGTGGTCGTGGTTACTTATGCCCCCACCGAAGACGAACATCCATGGAGGGATGCAGGCAAGGCGAGTGAGTCAGATGCCTTCTATGACCTCATGTCACAGGTGCTGGCTAAAGTGGCCCCTCGGGATAGAGTTATCTTGTTGGGTGACTTCAATGCCTGAGTTGGTCATGATACTGGCACCTGGTCTGGAGTGATTGGAAGGCATGGGCCAGATCAGCTCAATAACAACGGTAGGAGGCTGCTAGATTGTTGTGCAGCCCATGGGCTTGTAATTACCAACACGCTGTTCTGGCATTGGCGCATCCACACAACATCATGGATGCATGCCGGGTCCAAGCAAGAACATCTGCTGGACTACATAGTGACAGAACAGCAGATGCGGGCCCATGTCCTTGACACCAGGACCTACCGTGGAGCTGATCTGACCTCTGACCATCGACTTGTCATCTGTAAGATGCGCCTGCCATTCTTCCACTCCGGTGGTGGGTGTACACCCAGGACCCCATTTCAACCTAAAGTGGCCTGGTCTCAGTTATCTGATGAAAGTTGCAAGCGAGAATTTCATCATCGCTTGCGGCTGGGATTGGCATCGCCCCCGACTCCTCCTGATGTCGAGGGTAAATGGGCGAGGTTTAGGACTGTCACTCATGCAGCTGCAATGGCTGTTTTGGGTACGCGGTCCAGAACTCCCTAGAGATCCTGGCTGACAGAGGAGGTGTTCAGGATGGTTGAGAAAAAGCGACAGGCCCACTCTAATCGTCTACAGCATCCCACGTCGGAGAATGAGGAGGCTTACCGCAGCCTTCGCTCGTAGGTTCAGAGAGCCGTGAGGCGCTGCAAGGATGGGTGGTGGTCGCGGGTTGCTGAGGAGATGGAGTCTGCTTCATTGGCCCGTGATCACAAATCCCTATTTAACTCCATCAAAAAAGTAACCTGCAGCGCCACTCCTATTACCATCATTAGGGGAAAAAAAAACGGTGATCCAATCTCCGACCCCCAGGAACAGGCTTGCAGATTCGCTGAGCATTTCTGTGAAGTCCTGGGGGAGGGGAAATCCCTCGACGTGGAAAACATCGTGGGGACAAAGTGGGTGTGACCCTAATCTAGCCTTGAAGTTTTCGTGACTGCAGGGATCCCCAGTCTTTGCTTCTTTCGGTAAAGTCATCACGTTGGTAGAACGTAAAAGAAATCACGACGACGTTTCGATCGCAACACAAGCGACCGCCATCAGGTGGAACAGACACAGCAGGAGAACTGCTGACATAGGAGAAAGAGCTGCTACTGCTGCTGCTGCTGCCAACAAGAGTTTACGTCGGATTTTTGGTGGGCTTAACCCAAGGGGGGTAAGTGGTGCCGAGCTAGAGAAGGAATGTGTACGTCAATGTGAGAGATCGGCGCGTCAACGTGAGATAGTTCCCAGCCACCGGAGATGGTGGGAATCATCCTGTGCCTGAGCTGCCTCACCCAAGGGTAAGTGTGTGGAGTTAAAGAAGGAATTTGTACGTATAACAGTTCATAGTTTCAGAGTTCCGTAGTTGCATTTATTGTTGGTGTAGCCCTGTGAGCCATTCGGCTCTTGAATCGGGTGCAAAACGCAACAAACAAACAAAACTAAAACACGAACAAGAACAACATCTTAAAGTGACTACTTTGTGTGTGTGTGTGAGTGTGTGACTGTGCAAACAGAAAATCCAGGGGAAAAAGAAAAACATCAAAATATTCCTGAAATAGCACCGTGTACACCAAGGCTGTGTGGTGCAAAAAATCCCAGTGGGATGCAAGTCAAACAACAACAACAACAACAACTAAATTTTGATTTAAAGCTTTCGTGACTGCAGTAATTCATATTCTTAGCTCTTTCGGTAAAGTCACGTTGAAGGGAAACAATAAAATAATAAAATATATATAAAACAATAAAAATTCTCACTAGCGTTTTATATATATTTTATTATTTTATTGTTTCCCTTCAACGTGACTTTACCGAAAGAGCTAAGAATAACAACAACAACCACAAGATAACTAAGATTAACTCCATCAGTCTAACTACAATAAACAAAAACATGGCCAAACCAAAAAACGTTTTAGAAATCACCAAAATAAAGCCAAACTCTTTGTGTTTTTTTTCCGGTAAAGTCACGTAGGTAAATAAATAAATAACATACATTAAAACTAAATTAAATCACGACGTTTCGGGCGCAACACAAGCGCCCTTCTTCAGGTGGGGACAACGTAACGAAAGCACAAACGCTTAAAATGTCATTTATTTGATTTAGTTCTTACCCACGTGACCTTATGAATCCTTGCAGTGGCGAAAGCTTCAAATCTAGAATGCTCTGCAAACCTTCGGGCAACTATCAAAGGTTTGTTCACGATGCCATCCGGAGATGTATAAACATAGACATAACGTCAACCGTGGGGAGATGGATACAAACTGAGCAATCATTGGAAGGACGTTATGAACCAAGTAAAAGTCTTCACCGGCTGTGATGCTTCCATCCCACCTGCCTGTTTCAGCTGTTATTTCCCACTCTCCGGGTACATCACCAGGCTAAGTATCCGTGAGGCAGCCCAGCCACAGGAGGATTCCCCCAGCCACATCCTGTGGCTGGGGGGACCCTTCCCACGTAAGACACGCTTCAAATCTAGGACACGCTAATCTCTCACATTCACATTGACGTACAAATTCCTTCACTGGCTCCGCCCGCTTACCCTTGGGTTGAGCCCACCCAAAAATCTGATGTACGGTAAAAAAAAAAAATCCTGGGATTTGCGAGCAATAATCCGTTCCGGAAAGGTGTCTGTAAACCAAAGCGCACTCGTATATCAAAGCGCTCGTTACATCAGCTGCGTGATCACGTGATGCTCGGCAGTACAAAGCGTGTACACGTCAACTGCTCGTATTGCCAAGGACCCCTCGCTCGTTTGTCAAGTTAATATTTACTCGAACATTTTTTTTTGCTCGTCTTGCAAAACACTCGCAGGCCAAGTTACTCGCAATCCACAAAGTTTTACTGTAAACACCTGTTGGCAGCAGCAGCAGCAGCTCTTTCTCCTATGTCAGCAGTTCTCCTGCTGTGTCTGTTACACCTGATGACGGTCGCTTGTGCTGCGATCGAAACGTCACGTGACCTAATTGATTTTCTTTTCCTACCGACGTGATGACTTTACGGAAAGAACCAAAGGGTGGAGATGACCCTGCTCAGGCTGCGGTGCGTCAAATATTGGATGAAGGAGTCACCCGCCGTGAGTGGCTGGCTGAGGTGCCATCCGTTGAGGAAGTACTCGAGGCGATCCAGAGACCGGGAAAGGCACCGGGCAGAGATGATCTCCCAAGCGAAATGCTGAGGGAGGGCGGCGTTTGTGCACAGACTGCCCTACATGACATCATAACAACAGTCTGGACCACTGGACGGGTTCCGCAGGATTGGAAGGATGCCCTGGTGGTCCCCCTCTTTAAGAAGGGGGACCGCACAGACTGTACCAACTACAGGGGCATCTCACTCCTCAGTGTTCCGGGAAAGGTCCTGGTAAGGATTATTCAACATCGCCTTGCCAGGCACGCTGAGGAGAGCCTTGCGGAGCCCCAAATGCGGTTTCAGGAAAGGGCGGTCCTGCACAGATGCCATATTTTCAGTCCGTCTGCTACAGCAGAGGTGTAGGGAATTCCAACAAGACCTACATCTCTGCTTTATTGACCTGGTCAAGGCCTATGATACCATCAGTAGGCCTGGGCTCTGGGTCGTTCTTCGTGCTTTCGGAGTCCCTGACCCTCTGCTCACGATCGTTAAGGACCTTCATGATGGTGAGCGGGCCCGGGTAAAACTACGTGGCCGGGAGTCCGAGCCATTCCCTGTACACCTTGGGGTGCGACAGGGATGTCCTCTGGCTCCCACATTATTTAACATCTTTTTTGACCACGTAGTTCATTAAGCCTTTGATGACTGTACCAGAGGAATTTCCATCTGGTACAGATACAATGGGAGGCTGATCGATACCCGGGTGCGGTCAAGGGATGGCTCCCTATTGCTCAACCACGTTATGTATGCGGATGATTTGGTAATAGCTGCTCATTCAGAGGAGGAATTGGAGACGCTGCTGCTGAGACTGGAGTGTGCCATTAAGAGATGGGGCCTTACCATCAGCCCCACCAAAACTAAGCACCTGCTTGGGTATTTTGTACCATCGGACACTCCACCCCCACAACTCCCAATCGGTGATGCGGCAGTTGTGGAGAGAGTGGAGAGTTTCCCATACCTGGGCAGTGTGCTCATGACTGGCTTCGGTTTGACAGCAGAGGTCTCACTCAGAATCAGTGGAGCGACATTATCTTTTCATCGGTTACGTAACGCTGTGAGGAGCTAACAAGTTCCATTGGTGAGCTCCTCCGGCAGGCAAGGCTGCGTTGGTTGGGTCATGTAGCCCGCATGCCCAGCCACCGCATGCCGGAACAGCTTTTGTTCGGCCGGATAGAAGGGGCGAAACGGGCACGGCACGGGCTAGAGAAGAGATGGAGTGATGTGGTACAGGAGGACGTGGAGCTGAGTGGACTTGCCGATGACTGGTACCAGCGGTGTCAAGATCGGCCTCTGTGGAGGAGGCTCGTGAAGGACGCTACTGGGCAGTTGGAGGCAGTCGCACTCCAACTACAATGGAGGGCGGAGGAGCGACGCTCACAACAACGAGCGGAGCGCCGGGTAGCTAAAGCACTGCAGGTTGGCACAGTAGGGGGCACAGGTGGTGCATCAGCCAGTCATCTCAGTCATCTCAGTCAGTCGACCCGTAGCACCTGCTGGGTCTGCCCCGTGACCTCCTGCCAGCGGGCGTTCGACACTTCACGTGGCCTCAAGGTGCACATTGCCTGGCACAAGCGTCGTGGTGACGTCACCGCCACTTAGTGGCGAATGGGACTCTGACTCTATATGGGACTGTATGGGACTCTATATGGGACTCTGACTCGATATGGGACTCTATATGGGACTCGGACTTTGTATGGGACTCTGTGGGAATTTATAGGTGATTCTGCCTCTATGGTACTCTATATGGGAGTGTGTGGGACTCTTGACTCTTCGTTCGTATGGTTGATGAAGCTAGTGGAAGGTGGTGGAGATGGTGGTGTTGGTGATGATGGAGATGGTGGTGGTGGTGGTGGAGATGGTGGTGGTGGTGGTGATGGAGATGGTGGTGGTGGTGGTGGTGGTGGTGATGATGGAGATGGTGATGGTGGAGATGGTAGTGGTGGTGATGGAGATGGTGGTGGTGGAGATGATGGAGATGGTGGTGGTAGAGATTGTGGTGGTGGAGATGGTGGTGGTGATGGTGGTGGTGGTGGAGATGGTGGTGGTAGAGATGGTGGTGGTGGTGGAGATGGTGGTGGTGGAGATGATGGTGGTGGTGATGGAGATGATGGTGGTGGTGATGGAGATGGTGGTGGTGGTGATGATGGAGATGGTGGTGGTAGAGATGGTGGTGGTGGAGATGGTGGTGGTGGAGATGGTGGGGGTGGTGATGGAGATGGTGGTGGTGGAGATGATGGAGATGGTGGTGATAGAGATGGTGGTGGTGGAGATGGTGATGGTGGAGATAGTGGTGATGGTGGAGATGGTGGAGATGGTGGTGTTGGTGGAGATGATGGTGGTGATGGAGATGATGGTGGTGATGGTGGAGATGGTGGAGATGGTGGTGGTGGTGGAGATGATGGTGGTAGTGATGGAGATGATGGTGGTGATGGTGGTGGTGGAGATGGTGGAGATGGTGGTGGTGGTGATGGAGATGATGGTGGTGACGGTGGTGGTGGTGGAGATGGTAGTGGTAGAGATGGTGATGTTGGTGAAGGCGGTGGTGATGGGGTGGTGGAGATGCTGGTCGTAGTAGACGTTGGTGATGATGATGGGTATGCAATGTGTTCTGGGCTCAGTGATACCACCACCACCCCCATCACCACTACCACCACCCCCCCCCCAGGCCCCCTCTACCTGGCCGTGATGCAGGCCCACGTGGAGTTGGTTCGCCTTCTGCTGCAGGGGGGCGCTGACCCAGACTACAACGGCACCTGGGCGAGGGTCACGCCACATGTCGATCGTGGGTCACCACCTCATCAAGCACCTCCTCCACCTCCTCCATCATCTCAACCTCCTCCCCCTCCTCCATCATCTCAACCACCTCCACCTCCTCCACCTCCTCCACCTCCTCCATCATCTCAACCTCCTCCACCTCCTCCATCATCTCAACCTCCTCCACCTCCTCCATCATCTCAACCACCTCCTCCTCCACCTCCTCCACCTCCTCCATCATCTCAACCTCCTCCACCTCCTCCATCATCTCAACCTCCTCCACCTCCTCCATCATCTCAACCTCCTTCTCCATCATCTCAACCAACTCCTCCTCCACCTCCTCCATCATCTCAACCTCCACCTCCATCATCTCATCCACCACCTCCACCTCTTCCTCCATCATCTCAACCACATCATCCTCCTCCATCATCTCAACCACCTCCTCCTCCACCTCCTCCGTCATCTCAACCACCTCCTCCACCTCCTCCATCATCTCAACCACCTCCTCCATCATCTCGTCCACCTCCTCCTCCACCTCCTCCATCATCTCAACCACATCATCCTCCACCTCCTCCATCATCTCAACCACCACCTCCTCCATCATCTCAACCACCTCCTCCTCCATCTCCTCCATCATCTCAACCACCACCTCCTCCATCATTTCATCCACCTCCTCCTCCACCTCCTCCATCATCTCATCCACCACCTCCTCCATCATCTCAACCACCTCCTCCTCCACCTCCTCCATCATCTCATCCACCACCTCCACCTCTTCCTCCATCATCTCATCCACCACCTCTTCTTCCATCATCTCATCCATCTCCTCCATCTCATCCATCTCCACCTCCTCCATCTCATCTATCCCTTACACCTCCACCATCACCTGTCCCAAACGACCCAGGTGTTCCACCTCCACCACCTCCACCACCACCTCCACCACCTCCACCTCCACCACCACCTAACCCATACGACCCAGCAACAATAGCAGCAGCGGCGGCGGCGGCCAGCGGGTCACGTGACCCGGGCAGCTACTGCTGCTCCTGCCTCGAGACGCTGGTTCGCCGCTACTGCCGCAGCCCCGGGGACAGCCCCGGGGGCAGCCCCGGGGGCAGCCCCGGGGGCAGCAGCGGCGGCGGCGATGGCGATGGGGCGGAGCGGGCAGAGGCTGCCCTGGCGGTAGCGCAGCTGCTGCTGGACGCGGGCGCGAACCCATACCTCGTCCGTCTGGCCAGCCTCCTGGACGAGACTGGGAGGCCACGGGGCCTCACGGCGGAGCTCATCCTGAGGGCTCGAGGTGAGAAAGCGAATGGGGGGGGGGGGGGGGGCGGGGGGGGTGGGCTGAGAGGAGGAGCTCCGTGCTGGGGACTGTCTGGGTTTGCGGGATGTGAGTCCAGGGTGGATGTCGTGGATTGGGCACGAGGCGGTGCAAATGTATCTTGACTTTCGGTGGCCAGGTCAGGGCTCCAACGGTGTGAACGAGTAGAATACAATAATATACATTATTGCACTAAATTATACTACTTTACATTATACACTACTATATACTACTATACACCACTATACATTATACACTACTATATACTACTATACATTATACACTACTATACACCACTATACATTATACACTACTATATACTACTATACATTATTACACTAATTTATACTACTTTACATTATACACTAGTATATACACTATACACTACTATACATTTAACACTACTATACACGACTATACATTATACACTACTATATACACTATACACTACTATACATTATACACTACTATACATTATACACTACTATACATTATTACACTACTATATACTAGTAAACATTATACTACTATACATTATACACTACTATATACTACTATACATTATACACTACTATACATTATACACTACTATACATTATTACACTACTATATACTAGTATACATTATACTACTATATACTACTATACATTATACACTACTGTATACTACTATACATTATACACTACTATAAACTACTATACACTACTATACATTATACACTACTATACACTACTATACATTATACACTGCTATATACTACTATACATTATATACTAGTATACATTATACACTACTATATACTAGTATACATTATACACTACTATATACTACTATACATTATACACTACTATATACTACTATACATTATCCACTACTATATACTACTATACACTACTATATACTCCTATACATTATACACTACTATACACTACTATACATTATACACTGCTATATACTACTATACATTATACACTACTATATACTACTATACATTATACACTACTATATACTACTATACATCATACACTACTATATACTACTATACATTATACACTACTATATACTACTATACATTATACACTACTATATACTACTATACATTATACACTACTATATACTACTATACATTATACACTACTATACATCATACACTACTATATACTATTATACACTACTAAACATTATACACTACTATATACTACACCACATTATACACTACTATATAGTACACTACACTACTATACATTATACACTACTATATACTACTATACACTACATTAAACACTACTATATACTACTATACACTACACTATATTATACACTACTATACATTATACACTACTTTACACTACACTGCTATATACTACACTACTATACATTATACACTACTATATAATATACATTATACACTACTATATACTACTATACACTACTATACATTATACACTACTATATACTACTATACACTACTAAACATTATACACTACTATACACTACACTACATCATACACTACTATACATTATACACTACTATATACTACTATACACTACATTACATTATACACTACTATATATTACTATGCATTACACACTACTATACACTACACCGCTATATACCACACACTATACACTACTATACATTATACACTACTATATACTACTATATACTACTACACACTACTATACATTATACACTACTATATAATATACATTATACACTACTATATACTACTATACACTACTATACATTATACACTACTATATACTACTATACACTACTATACATTATACACTACTATATACTACTATACACGACTATACATTATACACTACTATATACTACTATACACTACTATACATTATATACTACTATACACTACTATACATTATACACTACTATATACTACTATACACTACACTACTATACACTAGACGACTATACACTACACTATGCACTATACAGTACACTATACACTACACTACTATACACTACCCTATACACTACACTATACACTACTATACACTACACTACACACTACTATACACTACACTGCTATATACTATACACTACACTATACACTACACTACTATACACTACACTACACACTACGATACACAACTATACACTACACTACTATACATTACACTATACACTACACTACTATACACTACACTACTATACACTACACTACCATACACTACACTATACACTACACTACTATACACTACACTACACTATACACTACACTATACACTACTATACACTACACTATACACTACACTACTATACACTACACTATACACTACACTACTATACACTACACTATACTACTATACACTACACTACTATACAACTATACACCACACTATACACTACACTAAACACTACACTACTATACACGACACTACTATACACTACACTATACACTACACTACTATACACGACACTACTATACACTACACTACTATACACTACACTATACACTACACTACTATACACTACACTACTATGCACTACACTTCTATACACTACACTACTATACACTACACTATACACTACACTACTATACACTACACTATACACTACACTATACACTACACTACTATACACTGCTATACACTACTATACACTAGAGTTCTATACACTACACTACTATACACTACACTATACACTACTATACACAACACTATACACTACTATACAACTATACACTACACTATACACTACACTATACACTACACTATACACTACACTACTATACACTACACTACTATACACTACACTATACACTACACTACTATACACTACACTATACGCTACACTACACTATACACTACACTATACACTACACTACTATACATTACACTATACACTACTATACACTACACTATACACTACACTACACTATACACTACTATACACTACACTATACACTACACTATACACTACACTACTATACACTACACTATACACTACACTACTATACACTACACTATACTACTATACACTACACTACTATACAACTATACACCACACTATACACTACACTAAACACTACACTATACACTACACTACTATACACTACACTACTATACACTACACTATACACTACACTACTATACACTACACTATACACTACACTACTATACACTACACTACTATGCACTACACTTCTATACACTACACTACTATACACTACACTACTATACACTACTATACACTACTATACACTAGAGTTCTATACACTACACTACTATACACTACACTATACACTACTATACACAACACTATACACTACTATACAACTATACACTACACTATACACTACACTAATATACACTACACTATACGCTACACTACACTATACACTACACTATACACTACACTACTATACATTACACTATACACTACTATACACTACACTATACACTATACAGTACACTATACACTACACTACTATACACTACCCTATACACTACACTATACACTACTATACACTACACTACACACTACTATACACTACACTGCTATATACTATACACTAGACTATACACTACACTACTATACACTACACTACACACTACGATACACAACTATACACTACACTACTATACATTACACTATACACTACACTACTATACACTACACAACTATACACTACACTACCATACACTACACTATACACTACACTACTATACACTACACTACTATACACTACACTATACACTACACTACACTATACACTACTATACACTACACTATACACTACACTATACACTACACTATACACTACACTACTATACACTACACTATACACTACACTACTATACACTACACTATACTACTATACACTACACTACTATACAACTATACACCACACTATACACTACACTAAACACTACACTATATACTACACTACTATACACTACACTACTATACACTACACTACTATACACTACACTATACACTACACTTCTATACACTACACTACTATGCACTACACTTCTATACACTACACTACTATACACTACACTATACACTACACTACTATACACTACACTATACACTACACTATACACTACACTATACACTACACTACTATACACTACTATACACTAGAGTTCTATACACTACACTACTATACACTACACTATACACTACTATACACAACACTATACACTACTATACAACTATACACTACACTATACACTAGACTATACACTACACTACTATACACTACACTACTATACACTACACTATACGCTACACTACACTATACACTACACTATACACTACACTACTATACATTACACTATACACTACTATACACTACACTATACACTACACTACACTATACACTACACTATACACTACACTATACACTACACTATACACTACACTATACACTACACTACTATACAACTATACACCACACTATACACTACACTAAACACTACACTATACACTACACTACTATACACTACACTACTATACACTACACTATACACTACACTACTATACACTACACTACTATGCACTACACTTCTATACACTACACTACTATACACTACACTACTATACACTACACTATACACTACTATACACCACACTACTATACACTACACTACTATACACTACACTACTAAACACTACACACTACTATACACTACACTACTATACACTACACTATACACTACTATACACCACACTACTATACACTACTATACACTACACTACTATACACTACACACTACTATACACTACACTACTATACACTATACACTACACTATACACTACACTATACACTACACTATACACTACACTATACACTACACTACTATACACTACACTACTATACACTACACTATACACTACTATACACCACACTACTATACACTACTATACACTACACTACTATACACTACACACTACTATACACTACACTACTATACACTACACACTACTATACACTACACTACTATACACTATACACTACACTATACACTACACTATACACTACACTATACACTACACTACTATACACTACACTATACACTACACTACTATACACTACACTATACACTACACTACTATACACTACACTATACACTACTATACACTACACTACTATACACTACACACTACTATACACTATACACTACACTATACACTACACTACTATACACTACACTACTATACACTACACTACTATACACTACACTACTATACACTACACTACTATACACTACACTACTATACACTACACTACTATACACTATACACTACACTACTATACACTACACTACTATACACTACACTACTATACACTATACACTACACTATACACTACACTACTATACACTATACACTACACTACTATACACTACACTACTATACACTATACACTACACTACTATACACTACACTACTATACACTACACTACTATACACTACACTATACACTACTATACACTACACTACTATACACTACACTACTATACACTACACTATACACTACTATACACTACACTATACACTACTATACACTACACTACTATACACTACACTACTATACACTACACTACTATACACTATACACTACACTACTACACTACTACATCCCACGTGACTTTACCGAAATAACCAAAGGTGGTGGTATGGATCCTTGCCGTCACGAAAACTTCAAATCTAGAAGAAATATTTAAAATAACTTTATTTATTTTATTTAAAAAACCCCACGCTTTAATGAAATGTACCGAACGCGTAGTCATGGCAACGCACCGCAGCTTGCCTGTGACGTCAGGGACACCGTGGCCAATCACAGCCAACGTCAGTTTGAGCGTTGGACAATTCGACCCTAGCCAAAACGTAACATTGAACAGAAATATTGTTTAAAATTTTTTTAATTTTATTTTTAACGATAGAATATGGTACGGCCATCGGTATGACATAAGCTCGAAACGTAACATATATATAAACAAAAATATTTTAAAACGTATAGCTTTTAATTTTTATGATAGTATTGTCATCAGTATGGCATCGGTATAGCAAGTTTACAGCCGATAGCGCATTGGGAAGTGGGTTACAATTGAGTTACAAGACTTGAGGATACTACAACAACAACAACAACGACAGAGAGAGTGAGTTAAATAAAATCGTGTTATAAAAAGCAGGAAACTCCTCATAGTTTGGCGTCATTCGGCTGGTGGCTACGCGAAACAAGTTCCAGTGAGCGGACGCGGATTCACACAAAGTCCCGCGCCTGTTTACCCCTCCCTTTGCCCCGCCCCCTTTGCCCCGCCCCTTTGCCCCGCCCCCTTTGCCCCCGCCCACTCCCTTTGCCCCCGCCCACTTCCTTTGCCCCCGCCCACTCCCTTTGCCCCCGCCCCCTCCCTTGCCCCCGCCCCCGTAGAGGAGCCGCGCTCCCTCGCGCGCAGCGCGCGCATCGCCCTCCGCCGTCACGTGACGGGCGGGCGCCTCCTCCACGCGCAGCTGCCGCCAATCATGAGGCGCTACGTGGAGCTCGAGTGGTGATTGGCCGAGCCGGCACGCGCCACGGGGCGTCCACCGATCTCCGATAGGGATCTGCAGATTCCTGGAAGATCGCTGCAGATTCCTGGAAGATCGCTGCAGATTCCTGGAAGATCGCTGCAGATTCCTGCAAGATCGCTGCAGATTCCTGCAAGATCGCTAGAGATTCCTGGAAGATCGCTAGAGATTCCTGGAAGATCGCTGCAGATTCCTGCAAGATCGCTAGAGATTCCTGGAAGATCGCTAGAGATTCCTGGAAGATCGCTGCAGATTCCTGGAAGATCGCTACAGATTCCTGGAAGATCTCTACAGACTCCTGGAAGATCGCTAGAGATTTCTGGAAGATCTCTACAGATTACTGGAAGATCGCTACAGATTCCTGGAAGATCTCTGCAGATTCCTGGAAGATCTCTACAGACTCCTGGAAGATCGCTAGAGATTCCTGGAAGATCGCTAGAGATTCCTGGAAGATCTCTGCAGATTCCTGGAAGATCTCTACAGACTCCTGGAAGATCGCTAGAGATTCCTGGAAGATCTCTGCAGATTCCTGGAAGCTCGCTACAGACTCCTGGAAGATCGCTACAGACTCCTGGAAGATCTCTGCAGATTCCTGGAAGATCTCTACAGACTCCTGGAAGATCGCTACAGACTCCTGGAAGATCTCTACAGACTCCTGGAAGATCTCTACAGACTCCTGGAAGATCGCTAGAGATTCCTGGAAGATCGCTACAGACTCCTGGAAGATCGCTGCAGACTCCTGAAAGATTTCTAACTGCGTTTTTGTTGCTCTAACGTTCTCGGAAAGCGCCCCCTGCCGTGCATTTAAGCAAAAGAGCTTCATAGCTCATCGGATTCCTCCAGTTTGAGAAATGTGACGTCACGTAAAAAAACGCGCAACTTTAAATAAAAAAATTAAGACGGCACGTTTCCACTTAATTAATTAGACGGTTTTTTTTTAAAATATATAAATGTTTTCTCCTACGACGTCAGAGTTGTAAGCGCCACGTTAAACACGCAACCACATTGACTGTGGTAAAGAAATAAAGCTTTTACTGACTGCATAAATTACTCACTGTTGATTTTTTTTTGTCGGTAAAGTCACATACGTATGCAGCGAAATTATATTAAAATAAATCAACCACGACGTTTCGACCGCAACACAAGAGACCTTCATCAGGTGTATTTGGTGCTATTTGGTGTTTTTGTTCTAAATGAGTACAATGACGATAGTTTAAAGCGATTTTAAGCATGTGTTATATTTTTTTGTGGGGGGGGGGGGGTGGGGCAGAGCTTTGTGACGTCATATTTGAGAGGGGGGGTCTGACTTTTTGTGACGTCATGTGACCAAGGGGGGGGGGTAAAAATATTCCAAAATCGCGTGACGTCATTTATGGACGGCAAGATTCTGATGGTCCAGCAGAAATGAAGATTTCTCTGCGCGTTTAGCCACACGGCCGTGACGAGGGTATATATATATTTTTATTGATTGCTCACGTGTGATGAGTGATCAAATTATTGATAAACGGTTTGCATGTGTTACAAGTGGTGGAAATCCAACCCGGGAGATCGAGCGCCGACGTGTAGGGAAAGCGGCAGGTGCAGGCTCGCTCGCCCGCTCACCCGCTCGCTCACCCGCTTGCTCGCTCGCTCACCCGCTCGCTCACCCGCTCGCTCACCAACTCACCCAGTCGCTCACCAACTCACCCGCCCGCTCACCTGCTCGCTCACCCGCTCGCTCACCCACTCGCTCACCCGCTCGCCCGCTCACCCGCTCGCTCACCCGCTCGCTCACCCGCTCGCTCACCCGCTCGCTCACCCGCTCGCTCACCAACTCACCCAGTCGCTCACCAACTCACCCGCCCGCTCACCCGCTCGCTCACCCACTCGCTCACCAACTCACCCAGTCGCTCACCAACTCACCCGCCCGCTCACCCGCTCGCTCACCCGCCCGCTCACCCGCTCGCTCACCCGCTTGCCCGCCCACCCGCTCACCCGCCCGCTCACCCGCTCGCTCACCCACTCGCTCACCAACTCATCCAGTCGCTCACCAAATCACCCTGTCGCTCACCAACTCACCCACTCGCTCACCAGCTCGCTCACCCGCTCGCTCGCTCGCCCGCTCGCTCACCAGCTCGCTCACCCAGTCGCTCACCCAGTCGCTCACCCAGTCGCTCACCCACTCGCTCACCCGCTCACTCGCCCGCTCGCTCACCCGCTCGCTCGCCCACTCGCTCACCCGCTCGCTCACCCACTCACCCAGTCGCTCACCAACTCACCCGCTCGCTCACCCACTTGCTCACCCACTCACCCGCTCGCTCACCCATTCGCTCACCAACTCACCCAGTCGCTCACCAACTCACCCGCTCGCTCACCCACTTGCTCACCAACTCACTCGCTCACCAACTCACCCAGTCGCTCACCAACTCACTCGCTCACCAACTCATCCGCTCGCTCACCAAATCACCCGCTCGCTCACCAACTCGCTGACCAACTCACCCAGTCACTTACCAGCTCACCTACTCGCTCACCCACTCGCTCACCAACTCACCCGCTCACCAACTCACCCGCTCGCTCACCAACTCATCCACTCGCTCACCAACTCACCCAGTCGCTCACCAATTCATCCACTCGTCGACCAACTCACCCACTCGCTCACCCAGTCGCTTACCAGCTCACCTACTCGCTCACCTATTCACTCATCGACTCGCTCAACAACTCGCTCACCAAATCACCCATTCGCTTACCAGCTCAACTACTCGCTCACCTATTCACTCGCGCATCCACTCGCTCACCAACTCAACCACTCGCTCACCCACTCGCTCAAAAACTGCCATTCGCCACCAAGTGGCGGTGACATCACCACGACGCCTGTGCCAGGCTATGTGCACGTTGAGGCCCCGTGAAGTGTCGAACGCCTGCTGGCAGGTCACGTGGCAGACCCAGCAGGTGCCGTGGGTTGACTGAGATGTCTGCCCCCTACTGTGCCAATTTGCTGTGTTTAAGCCGCCCGGCGCTCCGCTCGTTGTTGTGAGCGTCGCTCCACCGCCCTCCGTTGTTGTTGGAGGGCGACTGCCTCCAACTGCCCAATAGCGTCCTTCACGAGCCTCCTCCACAGAGGCCGATCTTGACACCGCTGGTACCAGTCATCGGCAAGTCCACTCAGCTCCACGTCCTCCTGTACCACATCACTCCATCTCTCCTCTAACCCGTGCCGCGCCTGCTTAGCCCCCTCGATCCGGCCGAACAAAAGCTGTTTCGGCATGCGGTGGCTGGGCATGCGGGCTACATGGCCCAGCCGGAGGAGCTCATCGATGGGACTTTGTCCAGCTCTTTCAAGGATTTGTAAGCGCCTCACACAATCCAGTCTGGTTAAACCCAGGATGGATTGTAGGCAAGCTAGCCTAAATGTTTCTAACCGGCGAAGATGTTCCAATAGGGGGGTCCACGTTTCGCAAGCGTAGAGAAGGGAGGAAATGACCGTGGCCGAGAAGACCCGAAGCTTCGTGTGGAGCGAAAGAGCAGGTAGCTTCCACACAGCGTTACGCAACCGATGAAAAGATATTGCCGCTCGACTGATTCGGAGTGAGACCTCTGCTGTCAAACCAGAGCCGGTCATAAGCACACTGCTCAGGTATGGGAAACTCTCCACTCTCTTCACAACTGCCCCATCACTGATTGGGAGTTGTTGGTACAAAATACCCAGGCAGATGCTTAGTTTTGGTGAGGCTGATGGTAAGTCCCCACATCTTAGTGGAAAGCTCCAGGTTCAGCAGCAGCGCCTCCAACTCCTCCTCTGAGTGAACAGCAATCACCAGATCATCGGCATACGTAACATGGTTGACCAGTAGGGAGCCATCCCTTGACCGCACCCGGTCATCGATCAGCCTCCCATTGCGTCTGTGTAGGGGTGCTATGGGGAATAAACACATGGCACGGGAAGGTGTGGTTCACCCACACCTTGGTGGCTACAACAACGTCCGCTAAGGCTCCAGTGGGTATAAAGTGCGGGGAGCCAGGGAGCTCGGGGCAGAGTGTGGGGCCCGAGGCTGAAGCAACCAGTGAAGAAAGAAGGCCAGCTAGGTGAGACCCTGGAACTCCTGTGACCGCTGCCCTTTTCAGGGCCGGCACAGCAAGCCAGTGGTGCGGCCCCAGAGCCCCAGAGTCAGAGTCCTTCTAAGGGCCGGTCTGGTCGGCGGGGTGCCGAGATCTGTGCCTAACCAGGGCCGGATCTGATAGCCTCCCTTAGAGCCCTACCAGGAGGAACTGGGAGCCTAGAGCTTAGGCCAGAGAGCCTGGGGTGTGTTCCTGAGTTATACGGGTGGAGGGGCCGCTACCCCTTCTAGTGTAACCCTTGTTAAGGTTTAAATAAATAGTGCTGCTTCTATTCTGCCGTCTCCGTGTTCTGGAACCCACTACATCTGTACCAATGGAAATTCCTCCAGTACAGTCATCGAAGGCTTCACGAACTACGTGGTCAAAATAGATGTTAAATAATGTGGGAGCCAGAGGACATCCCTGTCGTACCCCAAGGTGTACAGGGAATGGTTCTGACTCCCGGCCACGTAGTTTTACCCGGGCCCACTCACCATCATGAAGGTCCTACTGATGGTATCATAGGCCTTGACCAGGTCAATAAAGCAGAGATCTAGGTCTTGTTGGAATTACCTCCACCTCTGCTGTAGCGAACAGACAGAAAACATGGCATCTGTGCAGGACCACCCTTTCCTGAAACCACATTGGGGCTCCGCAAGCCTCTCCTCAGAGTGCCCGGCAAGGCGATGTTGAATAATTATTGCCAGGATCTTTCCCGGCACACTGAGGAGTGAGATGCCCCTGTAGTTACAGTTTGTGCGGTCCCCCTTCTTAAAGAGAGGGACCACCAGGGCATCCTTCCAATCCTGCGGAACCCGTCCAGTGGCCCAGACAGTTGTTATGATGCCATGTAGGGCAGTCTGTGCACAAACGCCACCCTCCCTCAGCATTTCGCTTGGGAGATCATCTCTATCCGGTACCTTTCCTGGCCTTCAGTACTTCCTCAGCAAATGGCACCTCAGCTAGCCACTCACAGGGGGTAACTACTTCTTCCAATTTTTGAGGCACCGCAGCCTCAGCAGGGGATTTTCCCCTCCCCCAAGACCTCAGAAATGCTCAGCAAATCTGCACACCTGTTCCTGGGGGTCAGAGATTGGATCACCGTTCTCTCCTCACGATGGTAATAGGTGTGGCACTGCAAGTTACTTAAAAAAAAGGAATTAAAGAGTGACTTGTGATCACGGGCAACCGAGGCAGATTCCACCTCCTCTGTCAGTCAGGGTATATGGGGAGGTCTGGACCGCGTACCCAAAGCAGCCATTGCAGCTGCATGAGCCACAGTCCTGAACCTCGCCCATTTCCCCTCGACATCAGGAGTGGGGAGGATGCCAACCCCAGCTGCAAGCGATGATGAAATTCTCGCTTGCAACTTTCATCAGCTAGCCGAGATCAAGCCACCATGGGTATGAATGAGGCCCTGGGTGTACACCCACCACCGGAGTGGAAGAACGGCAGGGTCATCTTACAGATGAAAAGTCGATGGTCAGTGGGCAGATCAGCTCCACGGTAGGTCCTGGTGTCAAGGACATGGGCCCGCATCCGCTGTTCTGTCACACTGTAGTCCAGCAGATGTTCTTGCTTGGACCCGGTGTGCATCCATGATGTTGTGTGGATGCACCGATGCCGGAACAGCGTGTTGGTAATTACAAGCCCATGGGCTGCACAAAAATCTAGCGGCCTCCGAATGTTATTGAGCTGATCTGGACCATGCCTTCCAATCACTCCAGACCAGGTGTTAGCATCATGACCAACTAATGCATTAAAGACACCCAACAGGATGACTATCCCGAGGGGCCACCTGTGACAGGTCATAGAAGACATCTGACTCATCGACTTTGCCTGCATCCCTCCACTGATGTTCGTCGGTGGAGGCATAAGTAACCACGACCACCACTCCTCGCCTCTGGTTGATGGGAAGGAGAGCCCAAAGTAGCCTGGGGCTTACAGCTTCCCACACCTCACCGCCACG